AGGGAATTCCGGCCCGAGTCTAAATCCTGAGCCTCAGCCAGGGGAAACCGCGAGCCCGGGGCTGTCATCTCACTTATTCTCTCCTCCAGCTCACTTTCCTTGAAGCTGGGGGCGTTGTCGTTAACGTCCGTGATTTCCACTTCAATTCGATAAAACTTCATTTCCCCGTCCACTATCAGCTCACAGCGCAGCACGCATTGCTGCACACTCTCACAGAGCTGCTCTCTGTCGATCCTCTCCGCCGTCACTAAATGTCCCGTCTTCCCATGCAGAGAAAAATACTGAGTACTACCTTCAGAGACAACACGAACGCCCCGGTCTCGGAGTGTCGGCAGCTGCAGCCCCAGGTCTTTGGCCACGTCGCCCACGAACGAGCCCTTGGGCATCTCCTCGGGCACCGAGTAGCGCAGCTGCCCCCACGCCGCCTCCCACGCCACCATCAGGATCACCCAGAGCAGAGCTCGCTGCCGCCGGCCCCAGCGTTTCCCCGCCGCGCACATCTCCGCCGCGGCTCCGCTGCGCCCCGGCCGGCTATTCCCCGTCTCCGACTGCCGATCCGCCTCCTTCTTCAACTCAGGCCCCGGCTCAGCTCTCCCGGCTTCTGCCGCCGGTCCTTCCTTCTCGTTGTAGCACGGCTCCGCACCGCGGGGACTCTCGCAGACCGCCCGCCGCCGAACCTGACAGGGAACGAGCGATCGAGTCTCTCCGCAGCGGGCGGGGCTGCAGCGCTCCGAGCTTCCTCTCGCTCCTCTCGGTCAACAGCGGCGCCCGCAGCCTCCTCCCGGCACTGCAGCACCGAGCGCTGCCGAGCGTTCATCGCCCTGCCCTGACCAAAGGCAGCTCGCAGGGAGGGGACAATTCCCACCGAAATCCAGCAGGACTAACGCTGACATTTCTGCAGCCGCCTTCTATCAAAGCATGGAATCGAGTACAGATAAACTTCCCTTAGAGAGACACACGTAAGTTCGCTTTGGAGTACAGCAGAAAATTGCCAGTAACCAACGCGGTATTACCCACCAGCCACCAAAATCTCAGTCCTTCGCTTCGGGAATTACACAGGAAGGGGGGAAACATCCGTTCCTGAGCCCATTATGTAGAGTTAGCAGATGATATTGTATGGTGTTAGATCCGCCCGGAACTTTGGTAACTCCTAACATTTCAGACAAACGAAGCCTTTTAGATACAATTTTTCCAACTAAGCCTAAACGTATGATAATAAAGAAGCGCTACGGTGACCCCGAAACATTTTGGAAAACACAAGTTGAAGGGCGAAACCCTTCCCTACAAGTGTGAGCACTGATAAGGCAGTACTTGTCACTGACCATGCTTATTTAATTTGCTCATGAAAACCTGGGATTTAGGCAGCTACCTTCCCTCAAAAGATATAAGGGGGGAGAAGCTGGGAGGGAAAAGGGGATGATCGTTCATTATAAAGAAATTGACCGTCACTTTCACCATCAGGGATTCATATGTAGGTCCTATTTGGAGTGAAACACCAAAAGAGCAGTATATAAAGACGTTTTTCCCTACAGCTGTTACTCTGGTGTGGATCAAGAAAGAAAGGTCAGAATAACAGTCTCAAAAAACAAGTATCAATACACGAATCTCGCTCTACATGCTAAAATGATCCCTTCATCATTAGTAACTTTCACCGTTTCAGACCAGTTTTGATAACAAAAGTTCACAATTAGATTTAAAAAATAAAAAATTAAAAAAAAAAAAAAGGTGCTGTCTTTGTCTGCCTATTCTAAGTGGGAAATTAAGCAAAGGAAAACCTTAATCAGAGCATCACCAATAAAGAAAGGCTGTGTTTAGCATAAGATGAAACGTAAGACTTAATGCATCGACCCTAAGTCTCATCATCACCTCATGAGACAAGTGCCCGTTCGTAAAGCAGGCTGCTAGGAAATATGAATAGGACGCTTAAAAGAATTCATTGAAATAGAGTCCGGTCCGAACAGCACCAAAAGAGAAAGGAAGCCCAAGAACAGACAGCCGCACGCTCTTAGGAAATGAAAAATTGGAGAAAAAGGGCATAAGGGATTACAAACCTTTGGAACGTCAGTTTCG